TGCCGGGGGAAGTCGCTGAAAGAGATATGTGTATATATATATATGATCCAGAAAGTGAAGCTCTCAATACTACAGAGGTTGATTGGGTTCTGACGAATTGACAGAGGGTAAACAAGACTTGAATTATTGACAGCTGGAATTCTTTCGGCAGTCTTTTCGTGAAGCAAGGGTTGGGAAGAGACGGATGATGGAGAAAGTGGCAGAACACAGTGCAGAGATGTTGCTTGTGACATTCCATGTGCAGGAAATGCGGGCCCCTGAACCTGCAAGCAGCGAGAGCGACCCGCCTTCGAGTGAGAGCAACTCGCGGCCACCGCATGGAGAGCCCAGCAAAGTCATGTTGGAAATCAACACGTCACAATTAAGAAGTCAATACCCATAGGATCCATGGTGCTGCTATATATGGTAACATTTACCATCAATATACCCCCAATGTTAGTATATTACCATACATGGATCCTATGGGATATGAAGATTTTGAAGTACTGCACACTGTCATTTAAACATATTTAAACTGAACCAGTGAATCCGAATGAATCCGATTTCAGCACCGCCACCCCCAGCGCAAACAGCAGCCGCGGCGGCGTGGTCGTTGTCATCCGCCATGTCCTCACCATCTCCACGGATGTGATTGTCATTGGATGTCATTGGATGTCATTGGTTTGTGGTTCACGCAAAGCAATTCCATGCAATTCCTCGGTTCCTGTTGATGGCCGGTATAGTGCAGGGTTCTTGTAAATTGATGTAACTTGTAATTCACAATCAAGTGTTCAACAAAGACTTCTGGGCCAACTCCCAAGAGCTACAAAAAACAGTTGCAAGTAAGAGTAGTTGGATATTGTTTCAAAATGCATCGAAATCCTGCACAGTCTGAAAATGTGATTCAAGTACAGCAGACCAACACAGAGTTGGTTGATTGTCAGCTGACTAAGCGATGTTTTGTGAGGTGATTAGCCCTGATTTGTATGCTATGTGGGATGTTTGTTTTCTTTTGTATAGAATATAGATATATATATATATAGAGTGTCCTGTCAATTGGAAGCTTACGGCTTGATGACACAATCCGAATGAGGGTCAAATTATCTCTGAGGTCTCCGCCACGGGTGCCGCTGGTTGAGGTGGGGTGACACTGCGCCGTTCATGTTAGGAAGTATCGAGAACAATACAAGAAACACATAGAAACACTATAATATACATTAATATACTATAATATACTATCATTATATCATTTAACCTGAGAAATCCTGAGACTCTTGGAATACCTAGAGACTTTGCATGACTTTGCACTTCCTCTGTGGTTGTCTCAGGCCACTCTTGTGACGGATCCTATTATGACGAATACAACAAAAATACCTAGGGGATCCTACACGTTGAGGGCATCTTTGGGGCTGGCATTCCCCAGTTTCCAGGCGGGTTCCTCTGTGTGGACTTCGAGCAACGCATGCAACTCCTAAATAAAGCATAGTCAAGAGTCTTGGACATACATGGATGATATGGATGTTTGATTGGTTTGGGCTCTATACTTGCTAATGTGTTCTCTTTTTGTCATCTAAACTAGACATTTGCTCTGGGTAGATTTGGGAAGGCATCCTGAAAGAAGCCATTTGAAACCAATCCGCGATTGTTTGGAAAACAAGATTTCCCTTTAGCTCCTCTTGCACTGAACTGATCCTGGGTTGGACAAGTTTGAAGCAACCTCCACCCACACCATTTCCAGCTCAAGCCGTGGTTGGTACGACACCGAACCACCGCCAGCAGTCCGGCCATGGGGGAGAGCCCGGACCGACTCATTGAACACAAGGCCGACACATAAAAAACTCGATGAGTTTTTAAGACTCGCTGTTGCGATCTGTCAGGTCAAAGTATTTTACTTGAAAGAAAAATGCACAAATGGAGTCCGGTAGAATGTTGTGGACGTTCTGGTTGTGTATCATGTCACTGATGCATCATTCAAAAGTAAACCTGGACATGATATGACATGATATGATAGACCAGGTCACAATTGTCAAAGATCCCACTGCCAGCCCCCTGACGCAGTTGTACTATTGGGTGAAGACAAAAATCCGTCCCTTGGCAAGCAACCAAATGTGGACGGATGGAGCTGCATCGGATCTGTTGCTGAGCTGATGCAGTTGGGTCTGTCATTGGCAAAAAAAATGATCAAAATTAACATGTTTGAAACATGTTGAAACCAGGTGACGTTGGACACTGGATGACACTGGGGAGGTGAGGGAAAACCTGCGCAGAACATGAACACCCAGCTGAGTCTGTTCCGCCATACCAAACGTCCTTCTTAAAGATGGGCTTAAACTGATTAATTTCATGCTCGCAAAACCAAAAATACCAGATCGCGAAAGCTCCGCGAAAGCAGCGCGAAAGCCAACTGGAAGGACTCCATTGCGAAAGCTTCGCGAAAGTGATTTCTTCGATCTTCTCAATTTCACTGCGCGAAAGCCACAGTTGCATTCGCGAAAGCTTTCGCGAAAGTGCTTTCTCCGGACAAAGCCGTGAAACAGGATTTTCAACACTGCTCAATTGAATTCGATTTCTTAGCATTGGCAAGATTGGACAAGTCAATCGATCGCACATTAAGATTAAATTGGGCGGCAGTGTAATTAACCGCACCGGGCTTTCCCAGAAGACGAGTACAAGCAGCTGCAGCCCGAGTATGTGGCGCGAAAGTATGGCGTTCCAGCAGCTTGTCTTAAAGTCGTTTTCTTGTCACCCGGACACCCAGCAGAAATCAAATCCAGTTGGTCATTGGTGAGACGTGCGAGCCAATTGGAGATCAGTCACATATGGATGCATTCCTCAAAGTTCTCCGGTTGCAGTGAATTTTGAGTTGAAAATCCGAAGCCGCTTCTTCATGCAGCCCCACAAGCTTCTTCGTTCTAGGCAAGGGAGCTTTTCGTGTACTGGGAGAAGGAGATTGATTGTGACAAGGTGCCCAAATCGCTGAGCTGAGACACAAGAAGATGATTTCCCAAAGCCATGGGTTTTTATAGACTGCCATGGTATGAGAAGTTCATCCATAGTTGCAGAAATCGGCAACCGCCCAGGCCAGTGAGGAGCTGTACCGGTAGTGCATGGTACATCATGGTACTGTATTATCAGATCATTTGGGGAAGATTTGGTGAAGATTTGGGATGTTTTTGCATCACGTATTTCTGTTTCAATGTCGATGCAGAGTACACATTTGGGGTGGATGTGCGCCCCAAGACATGAAGATCATGAAGCATGGCACAACTGCAAAAAGTTATACAATGTTATACAACGATTAATCGTATTAGTATGTATTATTCAGGCCAGGCAATTCAGGCAATTCAGCACATGTTTGTTACAACTCAGCTTGCAGGCAGTGCAGACCTTGCCCCGGACTTTGTCATTGATCATTTTCTTTGCTTTGATGTTGCTGAGCCACGAGGCACAGTGCACTGGATGCTTTCGTGACAGACATGCTATTTGATGCTATTTAAGATCTATCTAGAATGATTAGACTTGTACGGTACAGTATTGATCTGTAGGTATTGAAGAGTCTTTTGGTTTCAGTTTTGAGTTTCGAGTACCAGATCCACTCAAATACCATACAGATTCAAGACGTACCGGCGCCTTTCTTTTGCCACTTGTTGGACTCTCGAAAGGACAAAAAACTGTCTCCAAAGATCTCCAAAGTGTTTCGACATGTTTCGCCACATGTTTCGCCATTTTAGTTGATCAATGATGATCATGTTGGTGTCACAGTTGGACCATGTTTCCCTCCAAGTCCCTCGGATCCCTCGGCCTCAGATGCTTGGTCCAGCCCAAAGCATCGAGCGCCTTGGATGCAAAGGGCATGGAACGTGGAGTCCACCGTGGAGTCCCTTGAAACATCTTGAAACCAGTGTGGTTGACATGGTAATGTGTGAAAGTAACTCCGGCACGGAGGTGAATTTCAAGACCCAGATTACCCAATGATCCAATGCGTGTTTGTGACTCAAACAGGGATCTTGTGAGAGAGGGAGTGTGATTGAGACGTTGGAGTGGTTTTTATGTCACGCAACTGGCAGCAACAGTGCTGCACAGATTCAAATGCGTAAGTCAAGCTGAATTTGATGCTGCTGCTGTTGTGTTGTTTCTCATGTCAGATGCAATATCAGGCCACGTTTCCTCCTTTTGATGTTGACAAGACCAAAGATACCAAAGTGTCAATGACAATTGTTTGCAAGCCATAGGTAGTGTTTGAAGCCATGCTGGCTCGTGTCTATGCCCTGCACATCCTTACGACTGTACAAAGCATCCACAATCCTTGAGTATCGCGGGCCCTGAATTGACAATGCCAAAGTACTGGTCGGTGTTGAGGTCCACCAACTGCTTCGCGCAAAAAAAAGCGAAGAAGTATAGCTGCTATTAGCTGCTGAGGGAGGTAATCGGCAAAAATTTACCATCGTTTCCCAAGCAAGTGAGAGCCGGGGTGGCTCCGTTTGGTCAATCAGGAGAGCCATCCGCTTCGACATTGATCCTTGGCTGAGGATACCATCATGCCAAGCGCAACTAAGGTTGAAGACATGTCATGTGAGAAGGCAAACATAGTGCTGTGGCAAGGAAAAGTTGCAATCGGTTTGTTGATTCTCGTAGGACGGCTACTTGACTCCCATTCAATTTTCATGCAGTTGATGGAAGCGTTGTTGGATATTCTCAGTTTGAGGTTTCTGAGTTTCAATAGCAGCTTTTCCCAAGCAAAGAGCATGATTTGGGCATAGACACAGCACTTTCCGATTTGCATTAGTTAGATGAAAGCAACTTCCACACAGTATTCTGAAATATGAAGAAAGCATAAGAAATCAATCGATCCGGCTTGTGGGACCTTTAGTCTTGGCTGGGGTTGTTCCATTGGCGCTCTCAGAGACAATTCGAAGGGACACATTTGACAGTGTTCCTGTCAAGGAAGGTGGGACACGTGCTCCCGTTCTTGATTTTTTCACTTGCCCTCCATCAATGCAATGCTTATCTTGGGCACTTAGGAAGAGAATGCCAACTTTGCGTTCAACGGCGTCGGCACCTTTGGAAACAAGAACATCCAAGATGTGGCTTGGCTAAGGAATATGATCAGCGTAGGCCCGTGTGTCCAAACTGGTCTAAGCCAAGCATCCGGGGTGCCTGTGCGAAGAGCTTAGCGGAGCCCTGTGCATTAGTGATCTGTCTGCCTCCCATGAAAACCTTTAGGGGATCAAGAGCTGCTTGTTGTGTGCAGCAGGCCCATTTGTATTCATGGATTCCAATCATCGAAAGGTGACTGCTGAAAAAACGACCCATACTGTATCACTCGCATTGCGGAAAAGGTTGGTGAGCACTTTCGTGAAAAAACAATGGTCAGCCGCAAAAGTGGCACAGTGAACCGATTGTAAGTATGAGCACCAGCCAACGGACCGCCCAAGACAGCCCTGACCGAAACATAAATTTCAAGATGGCTCAGCAGCCGCTTGTGGAAGCAGCCTGATCCTGTTCCCTAAGCCAGTCAAGCACCTCCTGACGACAAATCTGAAATGTTGATCATGTTGATCAGTAGAATGAACTGTGCTCCCTTGCAAGTGCAAAAGCTGAACATGAAAATTTGCATCGTTGGGGCTGGTATCTACACAACTGGAAAGCGGTGAAGCTTCCTCCCCCCCAGCGATCTTCCCGTTCGTGATCCTGGAGTCGCTAAGGAACATGTAACGTAAAACTGCTACAATGTGAGACATATTTTCAATGACCTTAGCTTGCCACTGTTTGGCTTCTTGCTTTGAAATAGTCAAGGCGTGTTGTTTGTTCTGCGAATGCACACAGACATGTAGTGTAGTGGCTGTGATCAAGACAGCTCTCACCCTCCTAGGTCTCCTGAAACCCGTGTTGTATTGGAAGATATCCTTCCTTCCATGCATCATGGAAATTGCTAGACACTACATGACACTACTAACCTGCGGAGGACCTCTCACCATACAAACATGGATACGGATTTGATGTGCATGAAATGAGTTCTTCTGAAGATCAGCTTTGTTCAATTTTGTTCAGGTGAATAGCTTTGCAGATTTCTATTCATGGTTTCGTCTAGGCTCGCCCGTTTGAGTTGATCAATGAGGGGCCAAATCCTGTGAGCTGTTGGTCTGGCCTTTGCAGCAGAGTCCTTGAGGTTGTGAAAGTCTTGGAATGTCTTGGATATTTACTGTAAGTGATGCCCAGAATATGCATGCTTACTCAATGGTGGTTGGGTTGAAGGAACAAGAGTGACTCCTACTCCTGAAAAGGTCTGCTTCAATTTGCAAGAGAGGGTGTTTTAAGCTATGGGAATGCCAGTCATAGTGTAAGTAGATTCACACACAATCAAGCATGATTCTTTCATATTTGGATGCGGCATGATGCGAGTGAATGCCTTGACCAACCTTGTGGCTACAAGGATTCCACTCTTGGAATGCATGTATGAAGTCTTCAAACACAAGCTCCAACTCAGAAAAGCCTGGCAGAATCCGTTCCAGTGTGTAACTTTATTAAACAATATAGACCTAATTGGTTGTAGCCATGACCTGCCATGACCATAATATAGCGATGGCATCACACAAATTCACACAACTGAGATGCAGCCGGGGTCTAAGCTGGAGCAGGATTTGCTGCCATCTACATGCCGCAGACCAGCAGTGTCTCAGAAGGTTCCTCTCTCCCTTCAGCGCCTCAGAGGAAAATCTCAAATCCCTCCTGTGACACCTCCTGTGCACCTCCAAGCTAGTTTGAAGTTGCACAATTGATTGATATGAATTGATCGTACTTGATCAGAAATTGTTGGATTTGCATTCCAAAAAATGAATGGACTTTCCCAGCCGGCACACCTGAAAAAGCACGCCTCACTGCCTAGATGTTGAGCCAAGGTGAATTTGACGAACGCAGAGACTGCAGAGTACCTGAACTTCAATCGACCCTCGGTAGTCCAAGAGTTTCTTAGATACTTTCCCTGTTCCGCCTATTCCTCAATAGAGCTGGATTGTTATTGTTCAAGTTCACTTGGTGATCTTGGTGGTGGTCCTGGCGGTAATTGTACATAAATTTTGTGTTTGCTTTTGTTCCTATCAGAGCCGTTGTTGTCCTGTTCCTGTTTCTTGCCTTTGTTCTTTTCATTGTTCCTATCCTTGTTCTCGTATTGCTCTTGTTCTTGCTCTGGCCATTCTGCTTGTTGTTTGTGTTTTGTGCTATTGCTGTTGGGTTTTTCCTGCCGTTGCAGACTCAATTTCTCCCTACGCATTGCTAAACTCTGCTAAAGTACTTCGTGCTGAGGTAAACTTGGGCCGATCAAACTGTCGCAGCAGGTGGCCAAGGTGCAAGAGTTTGGGTGCTGGACCATGGGTTCCGGCAGTCCATTTGCTATGTTTGTTTGACAGCCAATACATGCCAGTACAAATCCAATACATGTTTGCCCATTATTACCTAACTGTTACCTGAAGGTATGTCCCCCTTATGGTGCAGAGGATGATCACAGATATTTCTAGAGTTTTGTAGATGTAGAGTGCCAAAAGAGGTCTTAGTCTTTGCCAAGCAACGAGGGTCAGAAGTTGACAGAATCGTTGGGTCGCCACCAGAGGTGTGTTTGTGTGTGTGTATTTGTCTGTGTGTATAATATATATATATATATGTAATTTTATAATAATAATGATAATGATAATATTAATAGTAGTAATAAATCCCAATAACAACAATAATAATAACGATAATGACAATGATAGTGATAGTGACAATAATAATAATAATATACATACACATTTGTAATTTTTATAATGTATTATGTATCTATTTAATATATATATATATATACAGACACAACTTTTTTTGTGGCATCGCAAATCTATGCAATCTCATGCAGAATTGCAGCGCAGCATCATTGCCATCTTCCCCTAAATGTCATCCTGCTACTCTTGGACTTCCAAAGGTCGTTTCTTCAAAACATGTCTTGAATAGAAAGCATGTTTCTTATATTTTGTCTTTTTGGATTTACGGAATCCGGAATCCAAACGCACATCCGGAATTTGAAGATCTACAGTAGATTAGCTCAGAAAACCACTTTGCTCAATTTGCTCTGGGCCCATGTGTCGACACGGATCGAACGGTCAGGTAAGTCCATGTGAGAATCCAGAACCTTGGATTTGACTATTTCGCTGTAGGTTGGCTATGTATACGTATAAATACATATATACATATATACATACATACATATACATACATATACACATACATATACATACATACGTACGTGTATATATATATACATATATATATACATATATATATATATATACATACATGTATTTATATTAGTTTTTTTTGATGAAAGCTGTTCATTGCATTTCACGCTGCATTCCATGACTTTGGGCTGATGCGTTGAGACTTATTTGGACGGGTGTCTCACTTGTCGTGTGAGTAAAGACAAGTACAAAAGCAAGTTCGTTCAGAACCCACCAAAAAGAGCCTGGGCCCCTCTAAGCCCAGCGATACAAGGATTTGCTGGACACGATTGACGTCAGCAATGACACGCGCTGCTTCAGCCAAAGCGCGACAGGGTACAACAGGAATTGGGTGTTCTGCCAAGTATTGTTCAATTGCTAGGCTGTCTCCAGGTTGGCACTGTAATTCGTCTACTCAACAACTTGGCGAATGTTTTGGTGCAAATGCATTCTAGCATCGTGCAACTCAAGATCCGCCTTATTTGTCCATTTTTTTTGCTGGGAGAATACGGATCACATATCGTGCACCAAATGATCCAGCATGACTTGATGCACTGATTTACCCTCAAGGGCCAAAAAGCCAGTGGAACAGTCAGCGATAAGATCATGCCCGCTGCAACTTGTTCTCATTTTCCGTTGTCTTTGCTTTGCACGAAGGACATGTCAGCCTTTGAAGACAGATTTGAAGACAAATTTTGGCAGAGTTTGGATTCGGCTTGGGTATTAGGCTGTATGATTCTGTATGTATTGAATACATCTGAATACGTGTCCAACAAAAGGTTTGATTTGCCGCAGGTCACGAATTTTTCATTCAGCCCACGGATTTTGACATTGGTTTCCTGGACTATGTCGAAGACACAAGCAAGACTGTTGCTTGGAGTTTCAGCCACGAGAGAATGGTTTGAGTTCCGAAAGGGCAACCACATGACACAAGTTGAAAAATGAGTGTGTGCCAGAGCCTGCATGATTCATTCATTGGAATATACAATGCAGATCAAAACAGATCAATACAATACATGTTCTCATGAAAACCTGGACGACCACGACGACCACATCATCTACATCGCGCCCCGAGAGCTCGTAATCCCTTTCCTTAATTAATGATAATTCAGGAAGCTAGAGCTAGAGCATGGATGAGCATGGTGCGCAGATGCAATCGCTCGCCACAAACACGTGCTAACCAGTCTCTGACATACTGGTACTTCGCTGCAGCATTTCACTTGTATGTGGTTTACTGAACTACAAGCGCTAGTGTTAAGTCGTATCAGCTCGTAAAAGTCATATCCGCAGGCCGTGCGCCTGGAAAAAATTTAATTTTGGCGTCACGACAACTGTTAGTGAGTGAGTGATTTCATTGTTTTGGGGCCGTGCGCTTGGAAAAAGTTCAATTTTTGTATTGCGGCAATTTTTAGTACTTGTATAATTAATCATTCATTCAAGGGGCATACACTGATTGCTGCTGCTTGCTTGCTGCTTGCCTGCTGATTGCCTGCTGCTGCTGCTGCTGATGATTGTATGTGCCAAATGGGCCCTGTACCAGTAGGATTTGAATCTGAGGAGATGATATGGGTATCAGCTGTTTTCCAATCATTCCATTAGGATTCTCTACAAATATGAACCTTTTCAGCAAAGTATCTGTCATTTTCCCTGCTGTGCGCAATGCTTCGGCCACTTTTAGGTATATGTATTATTATAGGTGAAACAGGCTGTGCCATGGTGATTCTTCTTCCCTGGTGTGACTTTCCATGACTTTCCACTACCTGATGCGACTTTTCCCGCCTGATGTGACTTAAGTACGGTGTTAGTAACATGCTGTGCCTGCCATTTTTGTTTGCTTCGCTAGCATGAGGGCTGCAAGTGCAAGCTTTGGAACTGTCATCCACACAACCAGTCCAAATTCTGGCGTAGTGAACTTTCATGGAGTTGCCACAAGGCCACTAGACATGACTTGTGTTTACCTCCATTGGCTCAATTGAGCAGTGTTCACAAGCCTGTTGGCTCGCGATGATAGGGGGTTGTACATGGTTATACTACCCAATAGATCGGGGACCATCACAAGCCATTATGGGAAATCCTATTAACCAACCAGTGCTGTACAAAGGGATGGAGGGTTTTGAAAACTGCTCAGTTACTTTTCTGATGTGTTGGGTTTCAGGCAAGTTGAAACCTTCTTGTCTATTTCATCCCGTAGGTTTGGCTCGACTACAACACGGATCCAACGAAAATGGTTGAAGAACTGGAAAACTCGTCACTTGGCAAAGACACTTTACTTTGAGGCACCAGGCACGTCGTTGTTCCATTTTTTCCATGTTTCTTCGTGATAATCAGTCACCCAACTACCATGAAGGTCACCGTAGCGATAGGGCTGAGCCCTTTGGTTTCAACTACTGGTAGGGTAGGTGCATCAAGTATCATCAGGTTATGATAATTTGCACCTTTTCCACACATTTGGACACATACAGCTCCGATATATGACTGCAAAGGCCAATGCCAAGTGAATTCGGGAGGTGAAATCAAAATGTCAGGGCCCTTTGGGGAATCAAAATGTCTACGGCAATTAGACTTAAGCTGATCCATGAATATCTATGACACTATGATCATCTATGATCTATCCAAAAGAGCTCGCAACTCTTGCGAGCTTATTTTAGAGGAAACCATAGGGAGCCTTGTGTGTTTTCAGGGTCTGTCGCATTCTTGGAGCGGGTTGATTATCCACTAAGCTCTTCAATGTCACACACGGTGCAACCCTGATGTCTGAATGTGTGCGCACATCTAGTGTATATAAATCTGACATAAATCTGATGTATATACACTTGGGATCACTTGGGATTGCTTGCTTAGCTACGATCCGCACAGTTCTTTGGAAATGTTTGTTCCAGTGTGGGAAGAGCCCAAACGCTACGCATTTGAGATTGGAGTATATACACTCGGAAAATTCGATCACCTCGCAACATAAGCAAATGCCCTTCCGCAACTGAGCTTCAGACCCAAAGTTGAATTGATTTTGTATTATGTCATGTATCGAACTCCCAACGTGGTTCCTATATTTCATTCTTGCTTTTCCCTCCCAGGTCGTGGCTCACGAAGGACACAAACCACTGGCAGGCTTACTAGTGGGAAAGATAGTCTTTGAAGCAGATGTCTCTGTTTTTTTTCCTGCCTCAGTATTAAAGCACTGCTAGCATCAGCCACACAAGAAGTGCAAACCTTTCGATACTGGATCATGCAGGAAGAGTGATGGGACCAGGAATGGAAAGAAACTTCGCAACAATTGGATTACTGGTTTTACCCGTTTTATTTGTGTTGGTTCAAACATGGGCCGTGCGAGATCAGCGTGGCAGCTTAGCAGCTGGCTTATGACTGCCCGTCGAGCCCCGTACACTCACCCAAGCCACACGCCATGCCACCCCTGTGCGCTCACCACTCTCCAGATTACCGTGGTCACCTACAACCCTGACTACGACATCCTCACTGTGACGGGCATCCACTTCTTGCTGTCTCGTTCAGGGAGAATTTGGAAGCAGATCACCTTCATGCTTCCTGGCAATTGTTGAGTGGTGCCCGATCAAAATTGTAGTGACAAAAGGCATGTCTCTCTACAGACCCCAATTTACTCCTAAAACTGTCTAAGGCAAGTTGCTTGCAAAAGATGAATAAAGATGAAGCTGTTTTGAGCATTTTCGACACACTGGTCACATCCAGTCGCTACCCAATGATGCCCAATGGGAACGTTCTTCACCAACTTATGGTATCTTATGGTTGCTGAGATTTGCTGAGGTCTTTGAAGACAAGACCCTATGCAAATCTTTGGTCGTTGGCTTGGGAAATTCTCTTTTTCGGAAGTACCTCTGCTAAATTGAAGAGTTCCAGGAACTGCTGTGTTTGCGGGGTGTGGTTGGCGTCGAAAGCATGAGGACGGAATTGAAACATTCAAAATAGTCAGGCATTCGCTGTGCATTTGGATTTGGACCAGCCAGATTGCCAGCCTGTTTGGGGAAGTTACCCATGTTCCCTTTTTGCGGAGGTGATGAACTTTTGGATTAACATCATTTGAGATATGCCATTGAGAGAAATATTCTCATGATGTGAATTCATGGCCTGCATCCCAAGTGCCAACAGCTTGCTTGGTTGGTTTACGCTTGCCCTTGATTCATGCCTCCCATCAACTGCCAACTCTTTTAGACGCATCTGAATACCATGCCTGCCAAGTTAATCCTTTCATGATCACGTTTGCAGTATATACATGACTGCTCTTCTTGCAATTCGTATAGCCATGTTCACTGTGTCTATGTGTGGCGTAGCCCGTGTGAATCATCCGCAAAGCAAACACCACCACTGGCACCACTAGCACGACTGGGTGTGAAATGGATTGAACTTTAGCGAAGCTTCCCCTCCACCTTCAGAGATGAAGTTACATCACTGGATTTCCAGTGTACTGTAACCAAAAGGCATCCTGACGATTTTTATCGAAGAGGTCTATGAGGTTGTCACTGGAACCTCGGCAACAAGACTGGCTCTGTGCAGAACCAAATCTGGATGTTGGCTGAGCACAGATTCAACATCCATGGTTTGACATGATTTGAAAATTCTGATAGTTGCTTCATTGCATTGAATCAACCATAAATGCGGTGTTTCTGCAAAAATAAATCCAATATGTTTTCGTTGAAATAGTGTCTTTAATCGGGTTTCAGTGAGCTGCAAGTCATCAGGGAATGAAAGCTATGCCAGCTATGCTACTTGCGGTTTCTGTCCGAACAGATCAGGTCGACATAACCAAAGATTTTTGTTACTGCACGGTGCTGCTGTGAACATGTTTAACAAGCCCTTGAGATTCCTTGAGTCCTTGACATCCTTGACAACCGAAGATGTTCGCATCATGGCGAGGAATCATTGCCGCACGAAATGGAGGTAAGTGTCGACCTATGCAATTCATCAGGAGCGGCCAATAGTTTGGGACGTGAGGATGCCGTGCCCCCTTCCGACCCAACTTACAGTTGACTGAAAAAGTCGTGCCTAAAATTTGGAAGCGATTTGGTGCGGACAACAAAGTGTGATCATGGTAGAAGCAGCTGAGCTTACCATTCAAATTCTTCCTGAAGAAGATGTACTGTAGAAGAATTATCAGCAGAGCCATTGAGGAATTCAACTTGACAACGCTGCCAAGATGCTCCAATGTTGTGCTTTGTCATGTTACCCTCTCCATGGAAATCCACCACGGCTCAGGGAGTACCTCGGTATATGGAATGCAGTGGACTGGGTCTCCATCATCATTGCCTTCACTCTGCTAGGCATCCAGCGGATTCACAGAGGTGATGTGACAATGTGCTAAGAATCCTCTCATCCCAAAGTCAGCAACAGGTATCATCACTCCGAGGTCGCACTAGGTCACTAGGTGTATTATCTCTAGCAGGGGACTGCTGTTGATCAAGATAGGGCGTGAAAATGTTTGCACAAGCTTGATATGTATTCAGTCTCAGAACCAAAGACTGTGTGATAGGCTGTTGAGATATCACCTTGAAGCCCAATTAAGGTTGTCATTTTTTGTATTTTGATGTGTTTTTTTTGATGATTGTTTGCTTTTGAGGTAACGCCCTCCCAAATGCAGCCTGCTTCCAGATCTTTCAGTTTGACGGCCGTCCTTTTTCCTAGTGTCTCAACATGTCTCAACCCATTCTGAATTTGAAAAGATTTGAAAAGCCATCTTTGCCTTTGCCTTAGGTGCGAGGTTGAAAGTCCAGATGCAGCCATCCCCCCCGCCGATTCAATTGCAGAAGTTTTGATGTGATTTTGGGGCATCCCTGCTTCGCCCTTTGGACAGGCATGTGGATTGCCACTTGCTTGGATCGGCAAAACTTGGAGGACTGGTGTGTTCCAAAGTTCAAGCCAACATACTTTGAGCATCCTTGAGCCCAAAAAGCAGCTTGAGAAGCTGAAACGGCATGTACAGGCTTCAAGCTTTCCCATGATGTCCACATGTCACGGTGCTCACAATTTATTGGATTTTAGTAGTTTGTGTTGCTGTCATAAAATCTGAGGTCAAGTAGATCTTCTTGCTTGGTTTAACATGCCGTCTCGCAGAGATTCACATGCTTTGTTGATCTCTCGCTTGTGATGGATTTTTGCCAGCTTGTTGGCTGATTGAGAGGACCTGGTCGTCATGCTAACCAACACCTGCTACTCCCAAAATATTAACGGGTGTCAAGATTTGCAAGGCTCGGGCTCGGGCCGCTCGGGGTCATGACATGGGAGGCCAAGGTCATTGTTCTTGCATCACGGCATCTGAAAATGCTATCCATTGCTGCCATTGCGAGTGATCCCGTGATCCCAACGTGTTTGCACAGCCGACCTCCTGAACGCCACGACGGAAGCGGGGCTCCTATCGGGAAGGACCAGCCTAGTAACTTGGCTCAGCAAATCAACAGGAATCCTTAGAGAATCCCCTAAGGAATTGAGAAAAGGACGCCAAGATATCCAAGATTTGTCGTGGTCTTTTGCGACTTTGCACATCTTTGCACAGTCATTTCAAAAGAAATCGGGAGTATGTTTCAAGCAGCTCAGGGTCCGAATTGTTAATCTCTGGTCAGATTCAAGACGAATGTCCGTGAACTCTGTTTCGGAACCTGCGCAAGCGCTGTTCCCAAGACAAATACAATATTGGACAGGAAGCTCTGGGCCTTAGCATTGCCAACTTGAAATCTGCATCCATTTGTGTCCTGTTTCGTGATTTTTCTAGTCATGAAATTGATTGAAATTGGCTCCTGGGACCAGCGAGCCAGGTAAGCAGTCCGAAGCTCAGAGGGAGCTGATTCGAGTGCACGAAGCTCGAATCTTCCCATGTTGGAGATTGCTGGAGCACCTTTTGTGTATATCAATTGGCACTTTTGGTATATTATATTGATATCAATTGTATATCAATATAATATTGGCACTTTTGATATCTGTTGATTCTGTTGTGATTCATGGTGATTATTTGGAGAATGATATCTGAGATATATATATATATACATACTGTAATATAACTATGATCGTCCTTGTGATGATTATGCATGATTATCATGAGCATGATTGCAATGAGTATTGGTCTTTATGCAGAAGTCAGTTTGAGTTCCTATAGCATGCACGGATTTCCTACGATGATTGGCTTCAATCCAAACTATTGCTGGTCAACATTTATATGTGATTTTTCTAGGCCAATTTTAACTTCAAAAAACCAAGTTGTTTGCACAGATCAGACAATCACCAAAAACTTATTCAGTCACGTCAATAGAACCGTTCAATGGCCACATCGCGTTGCAACGCTCGCCACGATGGTGTCACTGAAGTGGAAGACCTGGTCTTGAAAGGTCTTGAAAGGCCTTGGACATTCTCGAACAATTCGGCATTGTCCGTAGGATTTTTTTCGATTTTGTTCCTTTCTCTGCCAGTAGCATGCTCCTATGCTCCTGGGTTTGGTCTTCGTCATCCTCCGCACTCTTGTACTCGTCACTATCGTGCAAGTTGATGCGGTTATTATCACCAGAGATTCTTAGTTGTCACTCCACCACCATGTGTTTCCATCTTCGGAAAACTGACCCCATCCTTGACATGGGTGAGAATCGGTGAGAATGTTGAGAGTTGAACTGGGTGAGCTCCAAGGCTTTTACCCCTTCTGCATCCTTTTGCGATTGTTCAAGACATTCTCTTTGCAACCGCGTCTGGCTGCCGGGAGTCCCATTGCATAGGAAAGAATTTGTTTCATCAGACTTGATGAGGATAGGCTACCTGCCACCCAATATTGCCCAATATGTTTGCTTTAAGATCTTCAGAAAATGGTCGTTGCCAACGAATGTCATAGAACAATCAAGGTGCTTTCCAATTTGACTGCTACGATCAGCTACGAAGGCAGGAAAGTAATCGAAAGATATCGAAAGCAATCCGTCACCGAAGCTCCAAGGTGGTGACCCGCACTTTGTGGACCTCTGTGGAGGATTTGGTGGCATGGCCGTGATGGACAGATGCGAAGAGAAGTGGTGCAACCGTGTACCAAATAATCCAAATCTATCCAAATCTTAGAATCCAAATAGTTCATTGGAGAAATTTGAACAATATTTAGAATACATATGAATACATGAGAATACACGAGAATTCATGAGAAATACATGAGAATACCAGAAGATACCCTTCAGTGAAAGTTTCGGGGCAATCCGAGCTTTGTGAGGCCCACTTTGGCATCATTTTCCTCTCCGTGTTCGTCACCTTCGTTTTCATGGCCATGGGCTTTTTTGGCCGCACTGTTTCAGGCAGCTGAGCAGCTGAGCAGCTGAAACATCAAGAAAGTCACGACTAGTCGTGACTAGTCACTAGTCATGTTTGGGTCAGCAGTTACCGACGGGAAAAATCGGATAATTAGCAAATATTAGCAAGGTCTCCAATGAAAGCACCTACCCAACTGTGGGCATGTCTCTCACGTATCCACACCCGACTTGCACAAAAAGCTATTACTGTATTTGATCTGCCTTGTAAAATGTGTAAAGACTGGGGCCCTGTCTTCACCAGCCAAGCCCATAAGAGCTGAGAACACTTGTTTTGGATATCCTTCGACATCTTTCGATCCTGTCAGGCTATGCCAATTTTCAGATTGCTTTCGTGACTCTGTTCCGTGCGCTGATGGGCGATCTGGACTTCGATGCCATGGAAGAGCAAGCCGGGCGCGTCATTGCACGGGGCCTTAAATGGCCTTAACACATGGAAGTGATGAGAAAGTGGAGTCATGTGAAGCCAGTGCACTCGTGAAAGAATGTAAAAGAATGTGAAGTCAGTACAGTTTGAGAACTGTGAAGTGAGTACATTGGTCCTAAATGGATCAGACATGTCATTGGCCAACTCCTTATATAACCTGTATAACCCATGCCTTGTCTGAGAGTGGGGACTTCACTGAATATGTTATCAGCTGCAGTCTGAGTTTGATGCTTGTAGGTCTCTACGTTGGTTAAACTAGTTAGACGCTGCAATCCACAGACGTAGTAAAGGCTTCTCATGGTTTCGACGGAGTGCCAACAAACTGGATCCTTCGGTGAAGATGTTGCAGTTTCAGCTGGGGCTGACCGGGACTCACTCTTATAATCAATGGTCCCTTGAACGAGAAGTACTGGCCGTACGAATCGGTATGAGATCATGTTTTCATATTTACGGCATTTGGCGGCAATGCACCCGACTCTAAGCCAGAGTTCTCCAGTCATCTTCAGTCCGTCTGTTGGCTCCAAGGCCGGAATCTTTCACATCACCTTCATGCTGACCATGCTGTTGATCTTGCTCAACATGTTTCCTGGCGATTCCTGGTGTATAGGTGGTATATATATATATGGTATATGCATGATCCATGTATATCCGGTATGACTTGATGTTGTTAGATATTGCACGACTGGGAATCAACTTGAATCAACCATCTGGAGAATGTTATAGCGGAGAGACAGTCATGTGCCCTTTGGAGGGTCCACCAGTTGCTTGCACAGGGTGGTTGCAGTTCAGCTTCCAGTATCTTCATGTATCTTCCAGAAATAACATATAAAAGCGTTGCTTAGCAGGACCATCCAACCTTGTCATGCTGAGGCTGATCGCTATCATCATGGATGTCTATGCAATGACCAAGCAAAATGTGGCTTGCTACAAGACTTCCAGACATATTCTATGCATTTCTAGGCATATTACATGCATCTTAACGACAATCTTTGTCATAGCAGAGGTGGACAATGCAACGTTTTGCTGTTGGGAAGGCGACACTGGTCTGTTGTTCCTCAAGCATGCGATTCCGGTTCTGCCCAAAGCAATGATGCTGCCGTTCAAGCCTGTGGAGGAACAACATGAAAGCCAAAGTTTGAGACACACATACACCCACACACACACACACAAGATTACACGACTGCTAGTGCTGCTAGTTGCTTTCTTATTCTTGCCCATCAAATCATTACGTAAGACGTGTCCCCTCTATTTTTGTGGTTTCAATGCATCTGGAAATTGCCAGACAGGTGCTGTGAGGCCCACAAGATTGGAACCAATGGTGTCTCCTGTTTGTCTTGCAGTGAATTCAGGCTGCTCACAGCGATCCTGTTTGGTATGACGTATACGCATCTTCGGCTGAATTTAGCACAAGCTGGGGCTTGAATGTACTTGAATAGTATGTCGCAATGCCTGGATTCAAATACTTTCGCATGCGATGGCATACCCTTTTGCACGGCCGACGTTTAATCATCCGCCTGCCTGATAGCATGGCAGCTAAACATGGCGAAACGATGCAAAACGATATTTTTTCGTCAGGGCTGGTGAAATTTGATGCAAGAGGAGCATGGCTTTCCTACCTACCTGGGTCTACCCAAGCTCTCCTATATTCTGGAATCATTGTAAGTAATATAAGTACATTTCCTACATTGACGTACCATTACGTACCCTGTTTGGAGATCCTACATCAGTGAACCTGCTTTACTGGGCACCAATATAAAGCAGTTTCGTTTGGTTCCATCACTATCCACTCTTGGCTGAGCTGTCCCAGAAAGGGGTGGGGCTGTCAGTTGACTGCAAATTTTGCGCGTCTCACAGACGATGATGCATGATGAGGTGTCATGTTACATCATGTTACCAAAATCTCATAACTATATATAACTATTCGCCTCGCTTCGCGACGAAGACCGCACCAAAAGGTTGCAGACGTTCGCGCCAAAGACTCAATGCCAAAAAATATCAAGAAAGCGTACTCCGCTGAGTATCAAACGCGCACTTCAAAAGTTGCCCTCGAATCCGGCCCGCGTTGTGGAGCAGGCCCAAGTTGCACCACGTTACGTTAGGCCCAATTTGATCCCAAAGAAATCCCAGTTTGGTTGGGCCAGAATATAAAAGACTACAGTCTACAGCCACATTTGGGCCCATACTTGAGCCACTCTTCAGAAAAACGTGATGCAAAATACGATGGCATAGCCGCATAGCCCCGCTAAAAAGAAGAAGTTGCTCAGCAAGAGCCCCGCTAAAAAGAACAAGTTGTCAGTTTCAGAAAAGATGGGAAAAACTGGCCCCCTTTTGGCTACAGCTACTGTAGCAGGGCTTCAGGTAATGCTGCTGATACGGACTCAAGCGACACAACGAATAACGCTTTGCAACTCCGGTGCGGGTGGGTTTGGCCAGGTGCAACCAGACAACTCGGAATCAGTTGTCAGCAGCATTCGATTTTTATTACTTCAAGATGGCATCCACATGTGCAGATTGTGCAGAATTTTGTGCAAAGGCTATGTAAGAAACAAGCAAATTGCTGGAAGGAACACAAGTTACCTGAAAGCTGTGCAGCTGGCAATCTATTATTAATTATTCAACATCATCTAAGTGTATTCTGGCTCCTAAGCCTGCCTGAATAATCTACCGAGGACTATTTCAACCGGTTTTGGCAACGTCGCACAGGAGGGTGGGCAAAGGAACAGTCTCAATCAGTAGTCAATGGACTTTGACACGAGTGGAAATGAGGCTGTTCCATGCTGTCCGGGTTCAAGACACACCCGCATACCTGCGCTATGGACTGCCAGGAAACCGACTGAACATCTGGACAGCCAAAGTGGTTTGCATGACAAGTTTGCAGGAACAGGTGGCCCGTCTCGTTTTGGAGTTTGCACCATTTTGTACCTTTCTTTTTTAGACGCAAAAGGATCGTAGACCAACAGAACTAGCACTTTCGTAGCAGCAGACCTGGTAATGATGTTTTGCCCAGCAAAGAAATCAAAATTCTCAGCTGCAAAGTCAACTGTTGAAACGTGGGTTTTCACACCTCATGTTTACCGCCTGTTGTGCTGTCACTGTGGCTGTCACTACTCCCTGTGCGGCTCGCAGACTGAAAAGCATGAGCAGTATGGGAAGAGCCAGACGTCGCTACTTGGATTCTTTTGAGGTTGAACGCGTGTACCCTGGTGTACCTTTTGCCATCATTTGAAAGTTTTTGATAGTTTTTGAGCATTTATTTTTTGGGAACGGGAGGCTCGTTGTTGACTAGTGTATTGATGCTGTAGATGATGATACATGATGATACATGCCACTAGGATTAAGTCCCGATGGCTACGTAATGACATTTTTGGAAAAGTGGCAGGCAGATCCCGCTGAACAAATGAACCTAAGGCTGACTCCAAGACTCTAAACTAGTCACTTCAAGATAGAGCTTTCTTGAGATATTTTTGTGTTTCCCCACCCTGCCAGGTAAGGGTCTCTAGTAGGGACGGTCTCTAGATTTGATGTACTCCTCTTCCTCCTCTTCCTCTTCCTCGTCGTCCTCATTGCCAAGTCGCCAAGATCATAGCCAGCGTGACCGCCAGCTTCCTGGCCAGCCTCTTCTCCACAGCCACTACCGCGAGCTCGGTATCTGTCTGGGCCGCGCCGGACCCGAACACTATGCCAGATAAAATGCCCGAATGTCAAAATATATATGTTTTTTTTATCAGCTGAATGTCAAATAGAATGCCACAGATAGAGTGCGAGATAGAATGCCATTAAACATGTCAGATAAAATGTCTGCATATATACGTCTCCTACATTTATGAAATTATTTCAGGGGGGTCACCCACCAAAATAATTTGTCCAAAATAATTTCAAAAATCTAACATGTTGTGTATATATATATGTGAATTATATAGTCTGACCATCACCAAAATAATTTCTGGTTGGAAATTATTTTGATGGGTGACCGACCCCCACCCCAAAATAAATTTGACGTAAACACTCTGAATGGGAAAAAAACATGGTTCGAAATATTTCAAATATGTTTTGTTTTCTATGATGTTGTTGACGATGGCGTGGCCCCGAGAAGTGCGATTGCAGCACAACTCACAACAGAAGTCGCAATGTGAAATGGGACGAAGGAGGGGTTACTCACAGCAGAATTGAAGAAAATCACAAAGTACATCATCAGGAAATCCTGCACAATGTTGGTTTTGCAAAAGCGGTTTACTATTTTTTTGGTTGCTTTTTGCTGTTTTTTTAGGATTGATACGTTGCGAATCCTAAAACGCAAATAAATTCAAAAAATCATGTTTTATGTGTGCTCCCTGCTAGTCATGTCAGAATCTCCCTTCAATTTAAGTTGCACCAAGAACGCATCAAAACTTGCAACCTGAAACAAACAACGTTCTTTAAGAAATTATTCAAAGGATATTGGAGATGCCCTGCACTCAGCAAAAATCAAAGTGGGCAGCTGCCAGAACCATCCAACTTGCCCAGAAACTGGCAAAAATTGAAAAACCTATCAAAACCGAACGCTTCCCATCAAGAGTTCTTTGGAGGGAAATGAAGGGAATATGGGAGAAATAGGGGAAAATATGAAAGGTTAGGAAAATCACTATAGAGGAAATTGTGAGAAATCCAGCTAAGGGTATGTCAAGTTTGCTTCATCATTCCAACATGTCACACTTCCATCATGTGAGATCCAAACCATTTGTTCCTGTCACCACCGCAACAGGGATCCCTTCAGCCAATTGTGGCAACTGAGCCCTCATGTGACCTTTGAAGGTCTGACTAGTCGCATTGCCGACGCCATAGCGGAAAACCGCCGAGCGACTGCACAAATCGAGAAGTGTAACAGCATCCAGCATCAACTTTGTGTGGCCAGTTTCTACCTGACAGAAATAGCCAGGTTGAATACTATTTTGCGGGATTTCCCAAGGAGAGAAAAATTTTAGGGGTATTGAAGATGCCCTGCACTCAGCAAAAATCAAAGTGGGCAGCTGCCAGAACCATCCAACTCGCCCAGAAACTGGCAAAAATTGAAAAACCTATCAAAACCGAACGCTTCCCATCAAGAGTTCTTTGGAGGGAAATGAAGGGAATATGGGAGAAATAGGGGAAAATATGAAAGGTTAGGAAAATCACTATAGAGGAAATTGTGAGAAATCCAGCTAAGGGTATGTCAAGTTTGCTTCATCATTCCAACATGTCACACTTCCATCATGTGAGATCCAAACCATTTGTTCCTGTCACCACCGCAACAGGGATCCCTTCAGCCAATTGTGGCAACTGAGCCCTCATGTGACCTTTGAAGGTCTGACTAGTCGCATTGCCGACGCCATAGCGGAAAACCGCCGAGCGACTGCACAAATCGAGAAGTGTAACAGCATCCAGCATCAACTTTGTGTGGCCAGTTTCTACCTGACAGAAATAGCCAGGTTGAATACTATTTTGCAGGATTTCCCAAGGGGAGAAAAATTTTAGGGGTATTGAAGATGCCCTGCACTTCTCAAAATCCAAAGTGAGCAGCTGCCAGAACCACCCAACTCGCCCAGAAGCTGGAAAAATTGAAAAACATATCAAAACCGAACGCTTCCCATCGAGAGTTCTTTGGAGGGAAATGAAGGGAATGGGAGAAATAGGGGGAAATATTAAAGGTTAGCATAATCACTAAGAAATAGCCAGGTTGAGCACTATTTCGTGGGGTTTCCCAACGGTAGAAATTATTTTAAGGGTATTGGAGATGCCCTGCACTTCTCAAAAACCAAAGTGAGCAGCAGCCAGTTGAAAACAAAAACAAAAACCTATATAAACACCGAATGCTTGCTCTGTCGCACTCATTCCCATCGAGAGTTCTTTGGAAGGAAATGAAGGGAATGTGGGAGAAATAAGGGGAAGTATGAAAAATTGCAAACATGCAGGAAAGAGTCAATGATGAAGATGATGGTTGAACGTTATTTTGCGGGAATTCCTCTAGGGGGAGAAAGTTTTTCTGTTTTTTTCAACCACTTAGCGAAAAATTACATAAAATTCTTTCAGAACCTAGTTATTCCAGGGTATATTGAAGAGTTAAGTTAGATGTTTACTCGCATATTCCAACATGCACATCCGTAGACCCAACAAAATGTTTTCTTTGAAAATATTGAAGGGATGGAATGTCCCCGGTGCACCGGCGAAGGCGATCATGTCGGTTGGGGTGGGGTGGGGTAAAATAATGAACCCTCCGGGGGGTGAAATAATTTTGAGGAAGGTCCCCCCCGCCAGTTGGGGGGGAGGGGGTCCAACGTGGGTAATTGTTTTACCTTCAACAATTTTTCATCGTATACCGTATAACTCACAAAGACACTATCAACCCCCTGAAAACAATTTTAGAAATTATTTTGGAATGAGGGAGGGGGGGTAACTAAGGTAGGGGAGATATGCCAGATAAAGGGTCAGATTACATGTCAGATAGAATGCCAGAAAAATGTCGCGTCAAATGTCGGAATAAATGTCAAATAAATTGTATAGGAGTATAATGTTATAATGGAATAACATGGAAAAATATATATATATATGTGTCAGGTAGAATGCTGGATAGAAGGACAAATAAAATGGCAGATAAACATGTCGGAATATGTGCGAGATGAAATGTCAGAATGTTTGCCAGTACTTACGTGAGACAGATTGTCATTTGATGGGATCACTCGAAGAAAGCAATTCTTGTTTCTGCTTTGAACCGAGTAGAAAGCATGCTTTTGTGGTGACAGAATGCTCACTATCCCAGGATGGAATACTGTCCAATATACCTACATGATCTGGGCAAGGGCGCTCTCACCCCCAGTCAGACAGTCAAAGCAAAACGAAACTTTTGCTTGTCGCACTTGTCCAAACAGCAATTTGACCCGGGTTTCCCTCATCCAGCAGTCTGGGCGTGGCACATGCCCCCGTCTCGTTCCATAACAGCCTCAGTGGACTATCATGATCCAGGAGGCATGATGCAAACTACAAATCAATGCTGCAGAGTTCTCTTCAACTTGTCGTCAAGCAGAGCGTTGCAATGGTTCATGATTCGCGATCAAGTTGGACTGCTTGGCATGTTCAAGATGTTGACTAGTTACTAGTTTGTGTTTGTGAGTGTATGGTGTGCTCATCCACTTTGGTTGCCGCTGAGGTTTTTTGGTGTAGATGTGACAGAGGACAAAGAAACACTCATTACCTACGAGACCTTAAAGGACCTCGTGCCTGCCTCAACGCTTTCATGGGCCGAGGGTTGAGATGCTCCTGGCAGAAGGCATAGCCTAGCAGCCGCATGTGCGAACGTATCAACCCAAGAAGATGAGAGAATCGAGTCCGTTGATTCTCTTGAGTCACGCGAACTTCTTATCATGTCCGATCATCAGTGATCACTGACCTGACCGTTCGACCCAGATGCTCAGGTTCCCGAAATGAGCCAGGAACAGGTCGAGGCAAGTATCCTAGAGTCCGTTGAATGGTACGTTGCTTGGTGGCAGAGTGGCAGAGTGCATGAACCGCATGCGGTATCTTGAAGAGCCGCACCCGCGGCTTCTCCCATAAGCTCAACACCCATTCATGGCGAGGGTGGACAAATTGTTTCTACAATTTTCTACATGTTTCTACTGTACTTGTCATACTCGTACTTTTTTCTTTTGGATTCTTCTGGGATCTCAGAGATTCTCAGAAATTTGCTGGTAAGTTCCCGACAAGTCGTTCAGGCAAAGACGACGGAGGTGACGGTCAACAACCAGGAGATGTTCCAAGGCCTGGCTCCGCGCTGTGAAATGCTGTCAATGTAAACACATATAAACTATTTTTTAGACGTTTTAAGTATATTTTTGTACTTTGTTGTATATTTCTGCGTTGATCCCATTTGCTTCAGCTTTTCCATGCTCCAGGTATCAGGCAGTTGTGTCTTGGCTGCAGGAAAGTCATGCTGAGGAAACAAGCATGAGTTTCATGACGAAGATCACATGAATATATTTGTGGGTGTTCTTTTTGTTCATTCACACACACGGAGAGAGACACCGCCACTAAGCCGTTTTGCGATCGAATTGTCTGGACCTTGAACTTCAACATGAAGTAAAGCCTCTTGGGGTGAAATGCTGCCATCGTCAATTTGATGGAGTCTGAAGTTGTCGATGTAATTTAGTGGCGATAAAACTCAGGGTATTGGACATGTGCATTTTAATACCGCCGCCTGTAGGCACTTAGTGTCAGGACAAGCTTTAAAGATATATTAGCGGCAACTATGGGAGAGAAGGCATCAGACTGCCTGTATCAACATTATCAACATTGTTCACTCGATCAACAGTCCACGAAGTTGTTTGAAATGGTGAGTTTATTGGTTTGCCCTGGATTTGTATGCAAAATGTTCTTTCGGCAGTTGCGGTCTGGCCATATCCGAAAGCCTTGCCTAGCTTGACTCGCCATTCCGCAAAGGCAGCAAGCTGCAGGGATAGATCTTCACCAGGCAATTGGTGCCAGCCGCGCCAGCGTCGTTCGGAGCCCAAAATCGATGAGAGGAGGAAAGAGGAAATCAAAAGGTGAATCAATATGAATCAGTGATGGGAATCGGTGGCAGCCAACATCAGCAAACACTCCTTACGTTCACAGAAGCGATGTTGACAGAAGGAAATTTCAAACCGACAGACGAGAACACTCCTTACGATATTATACGTGCAGCATTTAGCGGGATACTTATTTTATCTGAAAATGATTTGAAAAGCAGTTTCAAACTAGAGATCCCATTCCTGAACATCTAGGAGACCTAGCAGAGTACAGTTAAGATAGTTCAGTGACTACCTTTAGATGGCTTGAAGCTGAGCCCCACCAGTTGCATCAAGCTCCGCCAAGGACTTGCGGGCCATGGAGGACAGCTTGGTGATGGGGTACAAAACCTGCAGTTTAGGAAGCTGACGATTGCCAGGAAGCTAATATGCAGTGTATACATAAATAAGCATAAATACCACATGTAAACAACAATATAATTGTCATATACATATAAATATATATATATAGATAGATATAATTGTGATATGATATCGTGTAGTACAATATAATATGATATGATATGACGATAGAATATAACTTAATAATATCACATCACCTCACATCACATCACGTCATACCATGCCATATCATTTCATATCATATTCGAGTCGCTTCGCGACGAGAACCGCCCGCGCCCAAAGAATAGGACAGAGAGGAAAGAAGCGGGCCTACTTAGCCCAGCCAAAGCCGACTGGGTCAAACTTGGCCGTCCTTGGCCTTAAGTTGCGCCGAACTCGGACCAGTCCAACTTGAGCCCAACGGGGGGTCCAGCATGGCGCAACTTGGGCACGTTTGGATGGAAGTTAGGGTTAGCATGTGCAACTTGGCTGTGTGTGGAGGATTGTGGAGGCATCTGGCGCCGAAGTTGGGCCCAAGACAGGCCCGATGTGGGCAACATGGCCTTGCACGAACCCCATCAAAATCATCAAAGCCAAAAAACGTTGTCAAACTGCAAGTTTTCAGCGTGTCGCATTGAGTCCGCAAAATTGGCCCGGGTTGGGCACTAGGATCCCGCTGGAGCCCAAGTTGGAGCCAATTGGCCCCAAAGCGATCCAGATGGACCCCGACTTGAAGCCATGTGATGCACACGGAAGTCCAAGTCACGTTCAAAGTGGCGCAACTTGCGACCCTTTGGCGACAGCGTGGGACCAACCGAGACACAACATGGGGAACATTGCTTCGAACGAAGCGTCAAAATAGCAGTGAAAACGAGCGTTTGGATGATTTCGGATTGGCCAGCTATGTCCTCCATTTCGAAGCCATATGACTTCAACTTGGGCCGAAGTTGCTCTCAAATGGGTCCAAGCTGGGGCCAAGTTGCGCCATCTTGGAGCCAAGTTGCGCCATCTTGGAGCCAAGTTGGGCCGAAGTTGGAGCGAACTGGGTCCAAGTTGGGCCGAAGCTGGGGCCTTGCTGGCCGAAGTTGGCCCCAAGTCAGGTCAATGTTGCGGACATGTTGGATCGAAACAGCGCATTTGGACGATTTTGGTCCGATCTGCAAAATGTGCAAATTACCAAAGCGGGGAACCGCCTTTTGGCGGCTCGCCCGGGCGAACATGCCCCCCCAGATGAGACTGTACCAGTCTGAAAGATCTGTCCGGTTGCTTCCGCTCCTAAGCTATCACGCCTCCGCACCTTCGGCGCCGGCGGATTTGATTTGATTTGTTTTTTATATTATATTATATTATATTATATTTTATTTTATTTTATTATATTATATTATATTTTACTATATTATATTTTATTATATTATATAATATTATATTATATTATACTTTTTTGAAACTATATTATTCTTGACTTTATTACGGTGTATTTTATTTCATGTCATATCATATCATGTCATATTTTATCATATTATTTTATTTTATATATGTTTATATTGTATTATATTATCCTGTTTTCTTTCCTATTATTTATATTACATGTCACATCATTTCATTTCATATTTTATCATTTTATATTATATCACATTGTATTATATTGTATTATACTGTATTATATTTTATTATATTGTTTTATATTGTGTTATATTGCAAAAATTTGCAAAATATTGTATTATGTTGATTTATGTTGTATTAGATTTTGTTTTTTTAGTATAGTATAGTATAATATGGTTTATTATTTTGTATTATTGTTTTGATATATTATTCTATTTCAATTTATACTTCAATTATATATATATACACTTGAAAAATGTGCGGAACCTATTTTTGGATGGTGCAAGGCCTCTGATTTGAGCTTCAGAATGCATACCTGTCAACTTTGTGTACTTGCAATCACGAGCTCCGACAGTCATTTGCATTTTTGATGCTACTCAGCCATGCACCAAGAGTCTAAGTGATTCCTTCAGAATTCAATAGGAACATGCCCGGACGCACAGTTCGCCAGATAAATTAGATGAGTTTTAAGTGCAATGATGTGTGCAATGATCGTTTACATACTGTATCGGTTTCCTTCTTAGAGTTCTGAAGTGGAAGAGATTCCCCACATCCCGTGTGACATCCTTTCGCAGTCTGTCAACGAGAAGGTGCAGGAGATAGCCCAGCTCCCTGGCGGAAAGGGGCTGGAAACAGATGAAACAGTCTGACAAATGTGTTCACAGATGTTTTTTTTAGGAACCATTTAATTCGATTTGTTTGTCCTTGGATCCGTTTATTTTCTTTTGCGTTCCATTTGCATCTTTTCTTGGTCCTTTATTTTCTTTTCTGGTGATTTCCTCCTTTCTCTTATCTAGGCTGTGTTTTCTCCACATTGACCTTGTTTGAGTGTTAGAATACATCTTGCAACGTGCACCCACAACCCTTCAAGACCCTTGCACTTTGGCGTGTCTGCCTTCGAGGGCATCGCAATCTATGATATTAGTATATTCATATAGTAATGCCATGTAATGCCTTTCTACATCTTTATGCGAGGTGATTGGAAAGAAATGTTTGTGAGAAGTGTAGTAGACCATTGCAGGGTTGTCAGGTGCGAGGAGGGCGAAGCACTGCATTCTTGTATGAGTGATTTGCAACAGTACCAACTCCCAGGAATGACTTGAAAGATTTGTTGAAGGCTGCACAGTATCGTTTGGACAAGATGGAAGCCCCTTCCCGCCACTTGGCGTAACCCATCGCAGCAAGTTTTCTGTTTGACCGTTTGAACAGATCAAAGCTGCACTGGCAGCTAGCAGGATATTGTTTGGGGCTGGTTCGTCGCTGCAAAGTGTGATGTTTGTTCAGATAACTATACTGGATTATATGATTAGTGAGTTGTGGCAAGACTTCACACAATTGGCGCCGTTCATGCCACAGACGGAACCACTGCTAAGAGTATCTGTTTCACATCAGTCTCGTGGATTCATCACTTCTCCCAAGGTTCTCGTGACTTGCTGTCACAGATGGTGTCCTCCGTTCGAATGGTGCAGGATGATCAGCTGGTGGATATGAGGTGGGAGGATTTTTGGGGGCAATTTGGGCGAGTTTGTGATGGATTTGAAACTATTTTAAATCAAAAAGATATACAGTGCGTAATCCATGTGTATCCATGTGTATCCAGTATCCAGAGGCTCGCAGACTTGGGTGCTACATTTGCTGAAGAGTTGCTGAAAGTCCTCAATAGCGCACCATGATTTTTTTGAACTTTCCAGAAAATGTCCTCTAAAGTGGAAAGCCATGGAAAGCCTATTTCATTGTTTCACTGTCTGAATTTTTGTGATTCAACAACAAAAATAAAAGAGGACTGCACGGTGGACAATCGACCTGGACGAGGCTTTGAGCTCAAGCCAAACCGAAGCTATAAAAAGTGCCATCCTTGGTACTGGAACAGATCTGGCTGCTGGCGGGAAATGTCGGGAAATGTTTCTATCTCTATCTAGTGATGTTGCAAATGTTTACAAGTACGTTGCAGATGCTCGCTGAAGACAAAGAGCCGAAGAAAAAAAGAATGCTTTCACAGCTGCAAAGTTTTTGAGATATTGACCTATGGATGCTTTAGA